ATATATAAAATAGTTGCCTATTAGCTATCAAAGACCTCACGTAACCAGCATTAGCATTTGGAAATTACAGTTGCATATGCTTACAACACATTTTCCTTGGATGTTGGTGTAGTCACTTGACAAACTGGGGGTGTGTTTTCATGTAGTGGACAAAGGCACACCATACATTACGGAAGTCATGGGAAAATACGAAGAACCTTAGACTTACATATTTTGTCATATGACTGAAAACTTCTAATTATCTGTTCCTATTTCTGAAGGAGGTACCCTCACCCAAGTACAACTCTGAGACTAGTTAAGGTCTTGCTCAGGATTCATTCATTAAAAAATTATTTTTAATTATTTTATTTTTATTTATGTGTATGAGTGTTATGCCTGCATGTGTGTAAGTGTATCCGTGTCATGCAGTGCCCTCAGAGGATAGAAGAAGGCATTGGATACCATGGAACAGAAGTTATAGAGGATTGTTAGCCGTCATGTGGTTGGCTGGGATTTGAACCAGGTCTTTTGCAAGAACAGCCAATGCTTTTTAACCACTGAGCCATCTTTCCAGCCCCTCAGGATTTATCCTTAAACTAAAATAACAGCTTAATTAAAAGATTATTGTTTTGTAAACAAAAACTTTGCTTAAAATACTGGTAATATAATACTCCTATTTATACTAAATTTATTATACTAAGATGACACTTTTCATGTTTGCTTTACTATAGAATGTATTTTTTTCAGGTTTGATGAGGACAGATGATGTGAAAATGAGATGATTACCATTGAAAAGACAACTTCTTATCCTCAAAGACCCTGCGAGAAAAGGGCACATCACACAACTGGGCTTACTATGGTACACGGAGGCCGGTCAGAAGGTGGAGGGAGGGATGGGAGCTGAGTGGATTTCAAGGGAAGAAGAGGAGAGGAGGGTAAGTGTGTAGGTTTGGCTTATTTGATTTCAGTGGGTTCTGCACATAGAGACTATTTTTCTGGTACTTACCCTCTGGTAACTAGGGCAAGTGGTTTGTGGCCCAGAGTATGAGAGTCAGGATAGAGTAGTAAGTGTTCACCACTGGCTGGTTTGCACTTGAGCCGTAAGTCCAAGTGTTTACTAAGTCTAGTAATTTGGTTAACCTTGGGAGAGGCTGTCCTTTCTGAGCCAACAAGGCCAAATCATCAGAGTATAAAGAATAAATGATAGCTATTCATAGAAGTGCTAATGGGCTGGAGAGATGGCTCAGCAGTTAAGATCACTGACTGCTCTTGCAGAGGACCTGGCTTCAGTTCCAGCACCCATATGGCAGCTAACAACCATCTCTAACTCCATTTCCAGGGGATCCAATGCCTTCTTCTGACCTCCATGGCATTGCACTACACTGGCATACACTTACATACATGCAGGCAATACATTCATTCACATAAAATAAAAAATTTTAAAGAAATACAGTGGTCTTTGATGGGGCCAGAAGCTTCTGTGGCTGCAAATACCTGCATTAAGATTAAATAATGTCTGTGACTGCTAAGTACTGCAACATCAAGTCTTACCATGTTGTTCTCACAGGGACGCAAAGATTTTTTTTTTTTTTTTTTTTTTTACTGAATCTCCCTAATCCCAGCCTGCCTGGAAGTCACTATGTGGACCAGACTGGCCTGGATCTCACAGAGATCCACCTGCCTCTGCCTCCCAATGACTGGGATTAAAGGCATGCACCACCAAGGCCAGTGTCGTGGCACTTTTAACAGATACCACCATCATTACTGTCAACTACAGGCATCCAATATCCAATCCTGTTTCAGCCCTGACTTAGCACAGTACTGACTTCTTCACCGAAGCTGCTCCTGTATATTACAGGACCCATGTTAAAATCTAGAACATGGGTCCTCATTCCTTCCATGACTTTCCAGATACTTCTGGCTCACCAAATGCTGTAGTTTTTTTCTCCCCAGTTTTGACCTACTTGTTGCCATTGAAAGCCAGGCTCATCACCTTTTTTTGCATATACAGAGCCAGAGGCCCCAGGAAACCACATAAGAATCTACAAATCCTTACATTGAACTGTCTTGTGAGACAAAAGGCATTAAGAAATGATGAAAAATGGAGTGAAAGCTGTTGACGAGTTGGTGAAGCAGGCATCCAGCTACAGGGAAAGGACAACACCTCAGGGCCAGCTCCAGTGTATCTGAGGAACTGGGAAGCTGGCTCAGTACTTAAGAGCGTTTCTTGCTTTCCAGAGGACCCAGGTTTGTTTCCAAGCCCCCATATCAGGTGGCTGACAACTGCCTGTGACTCCAGCTGTGGGGATCTGACCCCTCTCCTGGCCTCTGGGAGCACCGCACATACATGGCATACATTCACATAGACACACACACACACACACACACACACACACACACACACGCACACATACACACACACACAAAATTAAAAAATAGTAGAAAATAAATCTTTAAAAGACAATAACTGAAACATGTTTCATAAAGTAGGAAAATATTTTAAAGCAGAACCACTTTTATCATTTTTCCAATGAGAGATGAAAGATGAAATCTCTTCATGTCACTCTTTGTTATACATGAAAAGCTTTCTGTGCCTGTTACAAAGCTTTGAACTCATCAGGAGTATCCACAGACTTCCCTATGGGGAATTTCCTTGTCCTGCAAATATAAGCTCAGATATAATTAATTTGCATATATTTTAATGTTTGTAAAAATGGGAACAGTTGGGGGCTGGAGAGATGGTTCAGTGGTTAAGAACACTGGTTGTTCTTGCAGAAGACCCAGGTTTGACTCCCAGAACCCACATGACAGCTAACAACTGTCCATAACTCCAGTCCCAGGGGATCCGACAGCCTCTTTTGTCCTCTGCAGGCATTGCACGACACGGGTGCACTTACTTACATGCAGGCAATACATGCATACACATAAAATAAAAATAATAAAATTTTTTTTAAATGGGAACAGTATCTCTCTTCAAATATTTTTAAGCGTCTTAAACTTTCACAAGTGATCCACAATATTCCTGCAAGCTTTGTTGAATTATATATGTTAAGTTGAATTATACTAAGACCATGTTTTTCATGTCTGTTTTAATATAAGTTTGGTTATTCAGGTTTGGTAAGGACAGATGTGGAAATAAGAGAAATGACTGTCCCTGCAGAGACAACTTCTTATCCTCACAGATCTATGAGAAAAGAACACCTCTAACCACAGCCTCATGAAGGTGCTAGAGGCTGGTCAGAAGGCAGAGGGGAGAGCACAGGGCTCTACTTAGACTTGTTGCTGTTTAGGTCTAACTATTTACTATTTATGTCAGTATTTATTCCCTAAGGGAAAACTTAACGTATCATTTTGAAATATTCCCACTAACCAATTTCTCATTCTGAATCACCAATACAATTAATTTTAAGACGAATTATCAAACTTTATGTTAGTGAGCATGTCAGAATTCTTAGACATTGCTATTTAAAAAGCATAAAGCATAGCAACTATGAATTCTATGCCATTTTCCATGTAAACCCTGTGTTTCATACTTTACTGTCACACCCCTCATTCTAATTCCCCTCTCCTGTTTTCTGTGACATCTTTCCATCTTCAGTCTCTCTTTCCCTCTGTACCTAATACCATTAGGTCTTGCTACTAGAATCACCAAATAAATTCATTTTACAGTTTTACCTCATCTATGTCAAGGCTGATGTTCAAACATTCTCATGGTGCTTGCTGTCCTTGTCCAGGTGCTCGTCCACAGAAAGGAACCCTAACTGCTGTGGGACGTGAGCACTGAGCCCATCTCATATACACTCCCCTCACATGATCCAGGAGCTATCCTTTGTGTGATCATCAACCGTTATTTTATTTAATTTTAATTTAATTTAATTTTCATTTGATTTTAACTCAGCCAGATGTAACAGGTGGCACAGCCGTTACACTCATCACTAGAATTTACTGCACAGAATTGAGTAATAGTGCCCCAAGTTTCCACCTCTCTACCTCTTCCTCCTTTTCCTTTAGATCCTAGGGGCCACCTCAGGCAGAAGGCATTGAGAACTGAGTACTGTGACTCAGCATCAGGAGACCTTACCCAGAGACAGGCACTTCCTTCTCCTCTGGTCCCCTCCCTAAGGGAGAACTCCATGAGTGAGTTTACTCCTGTACGTGAACTAGATTAGCTTTGAAGATTAAACATTTCTGAGAGGCTGGGATTTCTGTGGCACACCAAGCTGACAGGAAGTCCAGGTGATATAATAACACTGTGGCAGAGTTGGAATGCTCTGTGAATCGCTTGAGAAGTTCATTGCCTGGGCTCTTCTTAACTGTTTGGGATTTCTTTTTTTCCCAGTAAAATGATACCCATTTTACAAAACCTACTTGGTGCTGTCTACTGTTGGTAACTGGTAGATGATTTTGTAAATAGTTTTAAAATTTTAATCTCAATAAATATGCTTAAGCAAGAGGAGATATATGCATATGTCCTGTCATTATGTATTATGGTATATGTGTATGCATGCATACATAGTCACTAATAATATAAATCTACTTTGGAAAGCATCCTTAAAGAATTTTACTACACCTCTAGTCCTCCACTGAATATTTGTTAATGCTATTTTTGTCTTCTGAAAAGAGGCCTAGAAATTCATATGCTGAGCATTTATTTACATATTTATTAAGCGTCATGGTATTTAACAAACAGCTGTAATTTACAAAGACCTCTGACCAGTATAGTGATATAGTACTATATTTTCAGGTTTGAAGAAATTTTGCAGATTTTTTTTAACTCATTAGTTCTACAATTGTAATAAACTTAATTTTTAAAATACCAAGGAAAGAAAACCTCTAATTTTCCTGTAAATTTCACCATGTTCTTTCCATCTGGTCCTTTTGGAATAATGTGTTCTTGTCAGTAGGAGGGAAAGGCCACTGTAAGAAAGTCCAACTCTTGTTCTGACAAGGTCTTCCCTCAAGGACACGCTAGTCCAGATGGTTTAATCTGAATCTATTCAGCCTATAGGCAAGACAGTATTTGCGTTTGAATACCTCAGCATTTCTCTCCTTCTGAGAAGAGAATTGAGCATTTGGGGTCTGATCATCATGTTTTAGTAGAATTTGAAATGCCGACATCCAGGCAACAACCAGAGCTCAAGGGATGCCACAGCCCTGCTGAAACTTCTCCAGCAGGAGGTAATTTTCACTTAACTGATTCATCTCACTCCTAGGCTGCCCCTCCTCAATCTGCCAGCTTCCATCTAAGCAAGACACACACACACACACACACACACACACACACACACACACACAC